GGATTTATCTTGATAGGAACACACGTACGAACACTGATGCGGGTGGCATCTCATACGAATTAATTCGTCGCGGCGAAACTCGCCGGCCGTTCTTTTCTCTTTTCCTCCCCGAGATGGGATTCAGGAAGGATGAGTCGGAAAGATGAATTCCGATAAGTATCTCCGTGTCAGAAATTTTTACGCGTCTCTTAAACAAAATGCGTGTCGTCCATTAACGGACGCACGCGCGTGCTTGGATGCGAAGGGCAGTTTAATTACAACATGATAAGTGCATATGCGCTCTTCTCGATGATAATTGGCGCCATCTTAATGACGCACACCGTTTATTCCAACATTTAATATTTCGATCCGATCACTTCTTTGTATACCGATCGAATCTTCCTTTCATATATTCCTTATGAATTGCTTGTAACTCGAGATATTTGACAGATAAACTAATTATTATACATTACAATATCTTTTTTTCACGCAGCGCGCATTCATGATTAATTAATTGTTAATATTTAATTGATTCAATGATTACTTGGGCAATTTTTTAACTACTGCATAATCTTCCTAACGATCATGTAGACTCTCCTAATCTCTATTATTATTAAAGGCTTAAAAAAACCTCGGTATATTGATACGAATGAATTAATCAACAATGTCGGTATCCGGCCAACCTGCTGCGACATATGTTAGGTACGTTGGCTCACGCACCAATACGCACTGCCTACGTACGTTTGCGCGCCATATGCGTCGCCGGTTATATTCTGTTCGGCAACCCCACATGACCCTTCACGAAATAGACGTATACATGAGTAAATTCTCCCCCTCGAACTGCCCTCCTCGACACCCTGCCCATTCCAGAACACTCAAGTATTTGTACATTACGTATGCGAGCTGGTGTCGACCTGCCGACACGTGAAAACACGTACTTTCGTGGCAAACCTGCGTTGCACATGTCAGATCTAAGTTGTTACGAATTTGATTAGGTGAAGTTTACTGTCGCGGTAAGAAACACGGCACTTTTGTTATAATTTCGAAATAATTAAAAAAGCCGTCAAAAAACTTATTCAAAATTAATTAGTTCTCCTTAATTAACTATTATAATTATTGCATACATTGTGCGCTTACATTCGACGTTACATGCATGCGCCACACTTGAGATTTAGACAAAAATAAAAGCACAGGCTATTATATACCTGTTCACGATGAGGTTCGTTACTCGATGTCTTTATTATTATAAATGATCTTGGTGACGATGCATTTTGATTTATAATGGACGCCATTTTTCGAGGACAATCGTTATCGACCTTGTCGCCGTTATAAAGCGTCTTCACTTAATTAGAAATCGAGAAAAATTCTCTTTATACGCGTCTGAATCAAGTGTTTTACAAAAATGATTAATTTCACAATATCCAACAATGTAACAAGTTAGATACGCGTATTTACAGATATACATATACCTGACACGCAAAGTTTTCACGAGAGAGCATTATAAAAATAGGAAAACAAACAACAGCTATCATTATCATTTATAGCTGGATACTTGTTAAACTGTTTACGGTAACGTGTAATAGACACAAATCAGCAATCGGTCTATTATTACAACAACGTATTATACAACTAAACTGCTCTAAACGCCTCCGTCGTGAAAATGATGGAGAACAAAAGGGCTGAGAGTAATTGTAACAACTGCATAGCGTATCCACGGTCC